GGGGGACGTTTTCTAAGCAGGGACAAGACTGGGCCTGCGATTGGTTGGTCGGGGCCCCTGCAACAATGCGGGCGATCCTATGTCGGTCAGGGCCCTTAGTGCCTAACAGAGTCCTGCACCAACAAGGGGCTTCGAGTCGGCCAAGGGAACATTTATTGGACAGCGATGCTGACGGGATCTTAAACGCAAGAGGACCTCTTGCGTTGATCGGTGCCCACTGCCAATGAAAGGAAGCCCGGAACTTACCATGATAATTCATATTGAGACAATGGAAGGGCCCTGCGCCAGTCAGGGCCCCCAGTACCGAACCGTGGGCCATCCAACCCAAGTTCTAGCCATGGTCCCGTTAAGCCGAACTAGGTTTATGCGCCCACTATTGGGCTTACTGCGACAAGCAGGACTTATTGCGTCAGTGAAGGTTCCTGCGTCGATCCGGGGCCAACTGCGCGGGTGGAAGGCCTCCCACGTCAAGGAGGGGGCCAGTGTGATATAATGTATTCCTCTGAGGGCCGCCGGATCGACCAGGGGACCCCACCTCCTTGTCGCTAAAATAAAAGCCGGAAGGCACTCCGCGCTGGGTGCAATGGCCCTTCAGCCCTTAACCGGGAACGATAATGTACCCACATTGTTCTACTCAAAAGGGCCCATAGCCCAGAACAAAATAAGGGGTCCCATTAGTGTTGAATAAAGTGGGCGAAGCTGGTTCAAAAATGAAAAAGGTCTCTCCATTTTTGCCTAATAACATTCATTCTTTTGCAGAATGAACTACTGAAACAAATAGCATCAAAAGTTTTGAGCCCACGTGCTCTCAATCCCAGGAGCAAGAGCAGCGACAGCCGAGATTGCAGTTCCCGTAAACCGAACGGCTTTGGCCACTGGAAGTGACGCCAGGAGGTGGGCGCCGTACGAACGAGAGCGGTCGTCGTGAAACAATGCTTCCCAAAATCTGTACAAATAAATACGTACCGTAAGATCGCGTAAAATTTTACTGGGATGTATCTTATTTATTTTGAGTTTGTGCTCTGGGCGGATGAACAAATACAGCAGCACGAAAGCCGGGATTCTACCTTTAACCTTCCAGTTCCACCACCAGATTTCGTTTATCGTTGGCCACCGTTTAATGATAGCCGCAGGTCCGTAGTTCTAGGGCTTTGAGTTTTAGCCTCGGGACCAACGCCGGGCATCATATGGAGACTGCAACGCCGGGTGTCGATGTTTTTATTGCTAAGTTTTGCGAGCGTGCATGTTCAAAACTACGCAACATCTTTTTTATAACTTATCGATTCCGAGTAAATGTTGAACACCTTCAAGAAAATATGGGCTGGCCATGTTAATTCCAAATATTCATCCCTTTGATGTACAATCTGCGTCCACAGCGTCCTCATTTTATCTGTAGAACCCAGGTAAAAATTCTGACAAAGCTACTTCGATGAACCATTTTAAAGGGACGAGCGACGGCGATTTATTCATGCAGCCGTTTAGCCCTCTCATCATTGTTAACTTTATCATCATCTAACGCCTGGTCCATTGAGATTATTTACTGCAAAATTCAAACATAATTAATCTGCGGTAGCGTCTGGCTTCTCTTCCAGTTAGGAAAGGTAAACATAATGTTAAAAAATGAAACCATGTCCCTCATTAACAAGTGGGCCATATGCGGCGTTCCTCTTTTTGGGGTGGTCGCTTTCACCATCAAGAGGCCGTTTCTCAATCGTTGCCCTCACCAATTACCAATGCTCTGTTTGCACCCCTGGTTCTTCGACATGCGCAACGCGAAGAAAAAATGAGATGATGAAAAAAAAAGAAGAAAAAAATGCCCCGAACGGGAAACTCCCAAAAAAGAGATTCCTTGCTAAAGTAGATGTTCAGATCACAGCTTATTTTGACTGGCAGGGGAGGAAAGGGGCATTCCTGGCGGTGATCGCCGAGCCCTCCCCATTTAACCGCAAATCCCTCCCCCCCCCCGACGACAAAGGTGAGACAGCTGTTCTTAAAGCAGAAAAGAAGAGCACGGAAAATGGAAACTGAGCTCTGACTGACGCAGTGTGTTCCTTAATCTGGGCAAGGACATGACCAACACATGCATTTTATGCTTGCGACAGTTTTGTTCCATTCCGCTCTGATTTGTTCACTTTCATAAACACCCGCGACGGTAAGTCAAATGAGACATGTCACTAAAGTGAGCAACGGATTCAGTGATATATAGAACGACAGGCTCCGATTTCAGTGGAAACATGTTAATTGCTCAATTTGGCACAAGAGCACCGAATCCGAGTCTATTTTTTCAATATCACGTTGTCTGCAAGGTAAATTCAAGAACAAATAATGGAAAACTTAGCATCACCTAAAGTTAAGTAGCCGATTTCGGAGTTTCAAGAATCAGAATATCAAACAGCGCATGAACTGGTGTCCATAAAAAGTTATGACCTGTCAAGGCCATTCTTCCGGGCAAGTTCCGGTACAACTGAGGGAGAATTCCATGCCACTCAAAAGCTAAAAGCCGAGTTTGAAATTTTTGCATCAAAACGTTCTCCCGCGCTTGAACAACCGGCCAACAAAGGTGCTGCCTGCTGAAAGTGAGCCTCAAAGTCGAATTCAGGCGCAAATGACGGAGCACTCCATATTACCAAAATTTTCCGGCCGATCTATCATTTTCAAGCACCCGAACATGCACCGGCACTTTACCTAGCGTGCGTTTCAAGATTCCTGACCTCTCAAGGTCGCCTCTCAGGGTTAAATGACGCTGACCTCCATATGGCCAAAAACTTTCCGGCCGGTCCTCGGCTCTGAAGTATCAGAATCGTCTTCACCGAATCAACAAGCGTCCGTCAGGAAGTCCTCACTCCTCAAGGTCACCCTTCCGGGTCAATTAAACCTCAAGTGACGGAGAAATTCACACCACCTTCAGCCACAGCCTGATTTCTCTACTCTCAAGCATTAGAATATTCGCCAGCGTATGAACTAGCGTCCGTAAGGAACGGTGCCACCGGAGGGGGTATGGGGACGGGGTGGGGGACACCACCCCTCTGTCATCGGACTGCTCTGACACCGGACTGCTCTGACACCGGACTGCTCTGTCATCGGACTGCTCTGTCATCGGACTGGTCTGACATCGGGCTGCTCTGTCATCGGACTGCTCTGTCATCGGACTGGTCTGACATCGGGCTGCTCTGTCATCGGACTGCTCTGTCATCGGACTGCTCTGACATCGGACTCTGACATCGGACATCGGACGGTGTGGGGACAGCCCCGCCTGTTCTAACAGCCTTCTTGCAGAAAATAATTCTTCACAGAGATTTTCAATAAGGGGCCATATATATATATATATATATATATATATATATATATATATATATATATATATATATATATATATGCATGGGGCCATAAGCGGCCATATCCCCAACTTCTGCCATAGTGCAGTTACCTGATATCGGTAATTTTACATTGCTACAACGTTAGTACGATGCCATCAAGACTCCGAAAGGCAGTTCCCAATATTCCTCCTATATTGACCGAGCGCATTTAACGCCTTCCGTGCTTCCTTCCGTGCTAAGAGTAGAATTTATTTTTTGCTTACTTTACTTACTTAAAATTTACTTTTTAATTTTCTGCGTTAGTTTTTGTGCTCATTTCGAATTTATTTTTGGCAGGGACCGCAACAGACATGCTTTCTGGCCTTTGAAAAGGGCGTTGACCTAAAATGACTGAGGTCAACATTTTAGTTTGGAACATATCGCGAAGCGCTGATTTGGTTGGCAGAATAGCGGCAAAGATATAGCGGCAGATATTGGCAAAATAGCAAACAAGTTTTTCGTCCCCTTGGCCTCATGAAGGGCAAACATGATCATTGATCTTAGATAAGCACCACTGACCACCTGCTAAGAACAGGTATCTAGGCTTACGGCGGTTACATCGGAAGGCCTGATGGCACTTTTAACTTATTTGGATTTATTACCCTGGTTTGCCGTTATTCGTGTTCCCCCCCAAGGTCATAAGTCAGGAGCTTCCTATTTTGAAAGAGTCCACACACATGCTAGCCGTGAATTTGGTGCCTACCTAGCTTACTTTCCAAGATCTCAGGGGGGGGGGGGGAGGAGGAAAACAACTCCCGCCCAAGAGAAGCGTACTCAACCGGCCGCCCGAGAGCGTGTTTAGGTTGACTGCAAATATGTGACAAATTAATCAAATCATGACACCTGGATTGGAATAGACCACAATTCATTTGGTAATGTAGCCCAGATAAACATTCAAGGAAACGGTCCACACTTGAACATATTGAAGCAAGCATCAGGCACGCAGAAATTATAACATTTAAAACGACTGGCCTATTTTTGGGTGGAAAATACCGCGCTGAAATGGGCCGGTAACTTTTGGGTGATATGGAGCAAATGTCATTAGACGGACGGTAATCCACCCACTGGTGAATATGCTAACGCTAAAAAAACCCGCAATCATTTAGTTAGCTAAGTGTGCTACGAATTTCCCCGTCACCCAACCTTAAAGATCACGTGACATCGAAAAAATAGACAACGAATTGGGCGTTTTCATGCCACCGCTCGGCTCGATCCTCAATGACAAAACGCGCATGACTGTCAAACTGGCAACATGGCAACTGTATGCATGGTATGCTCGCATCTTCAACTGCACTGTCATCCAATGGAGTGAAAAGGACGCACCGGTGCCGCCGTCGAGGAGGCTAAAAACTTACCAATCACTACACCAGTGAAGAGAAAAACACGCCCCCATCGTTCTACCACATCACGGGCTTTGCACACCACGTCATAGCAGTGGCGAAGAACGCTTGATCAATGATCATGCTTCACATAGTGGTGATGCAGTTCGAAATCACACGGCGGACATTGCCGAATGGTCTCCACATCTCTCCCCCACCCTATGCTACCCATTAGGACTCTAGCAGCGGCACGAGTAATGAGATATGCCAGTCTTTCGTCAAGCCATACGCGTTTTGTTTTTTGAAGTCATAAAACATCTTTCATCACTACGGGCTTTTATTACCTCACGTAAAACAAAGCGGGACACAAATTTCCGGTACACATATATTTTCGGCGGCAATCACACACAAAGAGGATAAAAACGACAGAGTCGTCTGGCCAAAACATAACCGATCCTGGATCACGACAAAGGCTAAAATATCACTACCATTGAAGCAAAAAGCTAAATTATCGGTCACAAATCAGGTTGCACATCGTCATGGCCGGCGATTGGGCAGGCCCGACCGGCGCCCGTCAGCGCCCCGAGGTCCTCCGACCGGCCGAGCCCCGCGGCCGTCCGGTCCCGGGGGGCGCATGTCACCGGCCGGTCACGGCCGCGGCCGCCGCGCGCGCGCGCGCACGCACGCAAGCCACTCAATTAGTTCAACAGCACTCGACAGCGGGAAGGGCAATTGCAGGGGGGCGGAGGGACGCCACCGACCCCCGGTGTGCTCCGTCCACCCACACACACCGCTCCAGTACGACCGGGCAGCCGCGCAGCGAAACTAGACTAAAATTTTGGCAAACAGAGGTCGGTGTGTGTCTATACATGGGCCGCCATACGGTCGATACCTCCGCAGGATAGCATTAAAATAACGATTCTCCACACACAGATAGCAATTGGTGCCTGCGGCCCTCAGAGCGCCCTCGTGGTTGGCGCCAGAAGTTTTGCTTACAGCGATCACGCCAGGTGGCTGGCAGAGCACTGCGGGGACGGAAGAGGCTCGTTTTGTGTTGTGTAGTGTGCGCACGTGTCTCGCTCCGGTGCCGGCGGTCATTCGGGAGAGACAGCTGGCCGCTTTTTGGTTGCTATCGTAACGACGTCCTCAACGTACTTCCGCCTGAAAAAGAACAGCGCACTCAAAAAGTAGAACACAAGAACGTCGGGAATCCATACCGCAATTCAGGATCACGTTATAATTCAAGTTGTCTTCAGTGATACACCTGAACAAGCCGAGCAGTATCAATGCATCACTTTAACGGCAAGCTATCAAAATGATAACTCCGTCTTTCCCCAAATAACTGGAAATCTCTGAGAGCCAGGCGCTGCACTCAGGACAACGAAGTCCCCGAGTGGCGGCTGGACAACTGAGAACAGTCCATCTTTTTAAATTCCATGGATACGACGACTACCTGCTAGGCTGAAGAACTAAAATACTGTTTAGAGCAAACTGCACCCTTACGTAACCCCCCTTACGTAAGTCAGGCAACACTCGCGTTACTCACATAACTACCATACCAAAACCATGCAACGTTATGTGCAACGGCGAAACATCCATGCCAGGTCACAGTGAAACGTTTTAACTAGCACATTTAGTTTATTGGAATCAGAGGCCAGCGCCCACATCACCTAGTAATGTGAGACCCTACTCGTCACAAGCCGACGAAGCCAGCAGCCCGTGCACCATCGTGCACCTATGCACAGTCGCACGAACGGGTCCCAACCGGCCCACTCACATGGCAGCCAGGCCGCCGCCCTCGGGCAGGTCGGCGATCTTCTTCTCCTCCAGGAAGGCCAAAAGCTCGGGCATGTTGACGCGCGGGCCCTCGTCCTCATGCAGCGCGTCCTCGGCGCCTCTTTCCTTGTCGCCGGGCGCGTCTGTGGCGTCGGCAGGCTGCGGCGCCTCCACCGGCTCCACCTCCCGCAGGTACTCTGTCGCAGCGAGCGGCGGTCAGACACGGCCGCCACTCACAGGTGCACAGTCGCAGTTACGGCGGGGTCACCTGCACCCACTCTCGCAGATACTACCCCCCCCCCGCGCCTACGTTCGCTGGCAGCAGGGGAGTGCCATTTCATGCATACACTTCATACAAGTTGCAAATCACCAGGGCTGACCTCGCACTGACGTGTTGGCCTGCTGCTGACTTGTCTTACAAGTTGTCTCAGACGTGAACCTAAACCTCTCTCTCAGCGAACGTTATGCAACAGCACTGCACACGACGTGGACACACATGCCGACATGATTGCACGATGTGAACACATCGAAATTCTGGGAGACGACCCATGTGCTCTTCAGATTAATTCCGTTTCATCCGCACCTGCAGCATCTTTACAACGAACTTTTCGCTGCCATATATAGACGTTTATAGTGAGGGCTCTCCAGTTCTCCATTCAGAACTTTCGATCTCCTTTCTGACGTAATTGGCCTCAGCGCCTTCCGCACCAGGGCTTCCGGATCCACTGAATGGCCGGGTTTCATCCGCCACATCTCAGCCTGGTCCACAGGAAGCCTCGCCCCGCTCTCGTCATGGCGCGGGCCGCGCAGCCGCCGACCGGCCTCCCGGACCGGCCGAGGAGACAGGCGCGCGCTGCAGCGTCTGATGACATCTGCGGGGCCTACACCGCACTGATATAGCTTGTGCCATGGAGCAGGTGGATGAACACGCCTTATAATGCAGTGGTCAGATGAGTAGGCACGGCACAAGCCGTTATCGGCTAACCTACTGTGTGACAAAAGCCTAGTTGTATAAAGCGTAAGAACCTACACAATTGGAAGTGCGTGGAATGAACTCGCTCATGGGCTCAACACATCTTGGTCTAAGCGGAACGTTCTATTTATCAATGTCTTAGGAATACAAAGAATGAACTAAAATCGTTTATTTCTGACTGGTTTGCATGGAAGACACACTTAAAAGGCGCTCAAGTTCGTACTTGTTTTGTGATATTACGACGCGATGGCTAATTATTTATGTTGGCTGCTATAATTGGTTTTACTTGTGGGTGTGGGTGTCACTTTTTGTTACGACCAAAGAAAAAAAACCCATGGCTCCAGTGCCCATCCTTTCCATTTAAATTTATCCCAGGATCCCATGAACAAAACCGATGCTCACAAGTTAGACTGTATCTCAGGAATGGATACGGAATATTGCTGTTGACTGAAGCAAAGAACCAACCGTTCTCCACAACAATTCTGAAGGCTTGCTACTTTTGTCAGCCAACCCACAATCAATGGTTTTATTCATGTTCAATGTTCAATGCTCACACAACAAAGCGCTGTTCCTATTTTGCTGCTCAGATTTTGCTCTATTATCTTACAACGTGTCCCGCAGTATTTGAGTTTTGACGTAAGTAGGTTCTCACCGCCAGTTTTAACCGGTAGAAACCAGCTTGGAGGCGCTGCTTCAGCCGGGTTCTACCAGTTCTCACCACAAAGGAATAATTCTTACGACTATCGTCTTCGCATGGTGTGTAAGTTAACAACAGATAGAAACAAAAGCTCTAGCAATGATTCCATCTGTGATATTAATATCCTTTCCACTGTTGTGGGCCCTTCATTAGGGTAGTGCTTAAGTTTGCACTTTTGCGTTTTTTTTTTAGCCAGAACAGTGCTGGAGTTTGCACCTTTGAGAGCACCTAGCTAGAACACTGCTTAAGTGTCCAATTATGTGAGAACTTGGCTCGAACAGTGGCAGTGACGAAACATAGTGACAGTGACGGCGACGTCCTATCGAGAAGCCGTGTCCGAACCCGACCGCAGGATTACGTCCAGGTAACGATTATCACAATAGTTCCAAAATACACTTAATCATGGTTGAGCCATGGACGGTTTAGCTGAAGACATCTCAGCCCTGGACGAGACAAACGTCGTGTACGAGTTTCGCCGCCCATTCGGCGACTTTGCGCGCCAGCCGACCCAGCTTGACATACATTGGTCACGCGACAACTTTTCTGTCACAACGCATGGCAATGCACCTTCAAGACGGTGCGACAAAGCACCGCGTTCATAGAAGCCACAACGCTCACGAAAGAAGTGACGGTAGGCAATGCCACTACTCTAGCCAAGTGTTTACAAAAGTGCAAACTCAAAGCACTTGAAGCCATTGCACATAAGAGACAAAGATCCTTCATGAACAGACAGATGAAGATGAGGGTACGCTCTCACTGTGTGATGGTCAGCCTCTGGCACCGCCAAGGATGTAACGTGATAACTTCTCTTATCCGGGGTGCCACCCACGTCATATCCGTGGTCGCATGCAACTTGAAATTAAATGACGCAACTTCCTGCAAGTTCTTGAAACGTTTTCCTACACCGACGCGAACCGAACGCGCCATGCAACTGTTTCCCTTGATTGTTTCGTGACTGCACCAATGTCTGATGATGTTCAAGGATCTAAAAGAGGGAGAGGGAGAGGGAGAAGGGAGAAAAGGGTTTGCACAATTTTTTTTCTGAAGATGGCGAACCAGTGGTGCCAAATCATTATAGAAGAACACAAATACCAGGAATGCAAGTGTCAGACTTACCAAACATGTATTACGGAAAAAACTA